TTCTTTGTTCTCTATAAAACAATTTGTCTAAAGTTTTGTACTACAGGCTTCTCAAATTTTGTGTTGTCAACTTGTCACAATATGTATATAGTCCCTAGATATGACTAAATTATGTCAATATATCCGTGGTAGAAAAAAATACTACGTATTAAGTGTCACCTTAAGGCCTCGGCCTCGAAATTTGCGGGCAGCAGAGCGGCGGCGGGAGCGGCAGTATCTTACGCGTATAATCAAATGGACCGACCCTCGAATACAGCGGTGCCCGCTGCCCGCTAGTTTGGAGAAATGTATGCGTTGCCGTGCCGCCGCCGCCGCCGCTCCGCTGCCCGCAAAATTCGAGGCCGAGGCCTAACAATAAAAAAAATATATTTTTTGTATATAAACATCATGATAATGGTTAATGACCTTCCATTGCTTAAAGTGAAGAAACTCCATCTCAAAAGTGATTATTGCCAATTCCACATCTCGGAGGAGGCAGTCAATCAGATTTAAATAACATTAACACGCTTTTGAATGAATACAATACATACTCATGTCTGATTTTCATAAAACAACAAAAAAGTAGTATCTAATAATAAAATTTCTGAAACTTTACTTTTATTTTTGTACTTTACGTTTTCGTTTCATGTACATACACCTATTGTCAGGAAGTTCTTTCAGTAACACCTGTCTATTGTTATATTGAAAAATACATTTATCGTCCACTGAATGTTTATTAATTCAGTAATTTTTCGGAAAACACCAATTTTGATTTATTTGAAAATTTCTGTTTTATGAATTCATTCAATCAAGAGTAGCTCAGGAGTGTGTGGTCCTGGTCACGTTTCGTACATTCGTAATTATCGTATTAAAACCTCAACTGCTCATTTCACCAGGGTTCTCTCATCATGGACTTCACTCATGTCTGTTCATACTAACTATACAGGGTGACTGGTGAATTACTATCGATACTTGAGGACGTGATATTTGACGATCATATATGACCAAATAAAAATTAATATAACATAAATATTAATAAACTTCTAAGTGAAGTAAACCAAAAGTTATGTAATTAATTACGCATCGTGTGAACACCCTACAGATTAGGTATACACACACACACACACGCGTCCGGTGGCGTGGTGTTGTATCAGCACGCCGCCGCAAGTATCCACACTTTATTTATTTATACGGAAATTTGGTCAAAAATTAAGTACCTATTTTTTTTTTACATAATTCGAATGAGAATCATGTACCAAGTATTCTCCTTAAATATTAATAGTAATTCACCAGTCACCCTGTATATTAGTGTCTCCATCACTACCGGTGGTGTAGGTTTATTCAAAGTTTAGAGAAGTTGACAAAATTATTTCTCCATTTTACATTATCTCCAACACTACCTAGTCAATTTCCTTCTCAGAATCGGCCATTTCATTCATTAACTAAACCTATACCGAGATAAATAATGTGAATAAAACAACTAAGTATACACGATATACTACCAATTGTGAATCCAATCTTTTTAATTCTAACATGACTGAAGTCGAAATTATAGTACATAATATGTCACCTTCATTAGGAATTACTATCTTGTCAGTGGCGGGGCAAGACCTAAATTCGATGTGGGCAAAACAGATTTCGCGAGGCCCTATTCTATGGCAACCTGAAGCTCTTACTACCAGCTAGTTTTAAAAACTTAATCGTCGATACCATTTTTACCCTTAAAGCTTTGGTTTCCTTTAAAACACAGTATAAAGCGTATTTTATATACTAGTAATTATTGCGTTACATACTTATTACCAATTAAATATTTGTTACTTAATGAAATAAAGACGAGTACAGGTACCGGTGTATTACAAATCACAAAGAAAACAAAAACAATTAAAAACGTCACTGTTTTCGGGGGCAATCAATATACTTAAACACCATCTATTTATTCGCTAAATATTATTAAAACATTGACCACACTATTCTTATCAAAATTGGTAAGGACAGTCATAAAAATAAACAATATATATAACACAATTATATATGTACATACGTTTTTTTTGGTATGCGCGTAACGCCAGGGGTAAAACCCGCATTCTGGTAGGCGGCAAATGTTGCCAGTCTAAGAAAATATCATTATCAACAAAATTGATTTATTTATATATTTTTTTCTCGCTTTAAAAATTTTTTGAGGCGCGAGGCCCCTTGTACCGCGAGGCCGTAGGCGGTGGCCCACGTCGCCCACGCCTTACGCCGCCACTGTATCTTGTTTATATTAATAAATGCTAGAGTTTGTATTGTTCAACTTGTATATTAAACTTCTGAATAGTTTTGAATAACTTTCCAGTAACGTCTCTTAAATATAATTTGTATGTAGTAAACTACAATAATAAAAAGCTTGAACAGGTTAATGTTGCTAAATTTCTTGGTATATTGATAGATAGTCAATTAACATGGAAACCTCAAACAGAAAAGATTTCTAAAAAACTTAACGTCTCAGCATATGCTTTACATAATTTAGCTAAAAAAGTTAATACCATTCTAATTGCATACCATGGTCTAGTTGTTTCTTTTTTAAGATTTGGCATTATATACTGGGGTAACTGTTGTCAAAAGGAAAGTATTTTTAAGGATCAAAAATGATGCCTTAGATCTATTTTCAACTTGAAGGTCACGGACAGCTGTATACCGATTTTTAGGAAATATGTATAAGCTTTTGACATTTCTTTGTTTATATATATTTGAAATTGCAGTCTTTGTGAAAACAAATAAGCACCTTTTTCCTTCTTTAAGAGATACGAGAAATCGCGCTAAAAATCTAAGGTCTCAATATCAGAATCTTTTATGTACAGGCAGCTACAAAACTGCATTATTAAAAAGGAACATATTGGCCATGGCCCATACTATATATAACAAAATACCTAATGAGATAAAATAATTAAGTTATATAAAATTTAAAAACACTTTTGGTTTCTTTTCTAGTTAACAAGTGCTATTTATTACTCAGTAAACGATTTTCTAATGGATAAGATATAATTTTGTAAGAAATTGCTGAATAAAAAATGTATAAAATATATAACTTAAATAATCATCTATCTATGTATCACAAATCATGGGATATATAATAATTTTAAATAATTAAATTTAATTATGTAGTTGTTTAATTTTATTTTAAAAAGTTTAATTCAATTGTACGAGTATTGTTGATTCGACTTTATTTTATTGAATTGTTAATTTTCATCTGTAAAACACTTAATATGAATTCATAATTATAATTGCATGGTTAATTTAATTTCTAATTTTAATTGAATAGTTAATTTTAATTTAAACCTAATATGTATTTGCAAGCCTTATGGTAGAATGTACCTGGAACTTATATTAAAATCTATTTGTTCACCTATATTCTGTACCTACATTCAGAGCAAATAAATATTATTATTATTATTAGTAATAACACGACGCGGACTGTAGAGGGCGCTGTCGTTTGGATACTATAAAGCTTTTGAAGCACACAATATAATTATTTCTCTAAACCTAATGTCCTCACAGAAAACCTCTCAGGGTGAAGCTAGTATAAGTTATTATCTTATCTCCACTCGTCATCGACTACACAAACAGTTGACATCAAATAAAACATGTAATGTTATACTTAAAATGAGATTTATTATTAAACCTATATACACTCCGACATCACTCACAGCTCGCCTCGGCCATTACAAAACTATCTATAGATGTGCAAAACACTTGTTTGCAGTCACTTAGTAAATATTAAGTCCACAATCTTCATACATGTGTCTGTCAAATGTGTTTCAACCAGGGGTCAACATACTCTAGTAGGGCGCGTATCTTCTGGAGGGTGAAGGGCCTCGCATCCCCGGCCTGGAATAATAAGGGTTCATATTAAATATATGTAACACTGTTAGTGAGTATAAACTTTGATAGGCAATTTTAGTCTGCAATCTGTTAATAATGATTGTAATATTTTTTTTTATTTTATTTTAGGGAAACACACAATAAGATAAAGTAATGGGATATGAATATACAAAATTACATATATCAGCTAAGTTTCCACTGGTAAATTAGACACATTATTAAAATTTAAAAAAGACTAACAAAATCAAACATTAAAAACGTATACTGACGAATATCTTCGGCAGTTATGAATAAAATCAACATAAATATAATTAAACGAAACAAAATTTGAAAAAAAAAGAAGTAACACATTAAACAAAATTGAAGTCATTAATGGCTACATCGGTTACTTAAATTAAAAGCAAAACATTTATACATAACAAAACAAACTATGAATTGATACATAAATTAATATTATTAACTTTATTTTTAAAAGAATACATTTTTTTGAACGATATATCAATATTGGAATAAACTTTATTATAATTTTGGCAGCTACGATACAAGAAGATATTATTAGTACTTTTCGTTTTACAAATCAGCACATTAAATAATGGTTTATATCTAGAATTTATTTGTGGACAATTAAATTCAATATTAGACAATAGGAAAGGTGAATCTACGAAACTGTTTATTATTTTATTTAAGAAAATTGGTCTCTTAGCTTGTCTACATAAAGTAAGAGTAGACAAGTTGTATTTTAGTAGAAGATACAGCTCTATAACATGTGTTTGTAGAATTTTCTTTGAATGGAGTCTAATTCATTTATATATGTTTTATACTGAGGATTCCATACGGTAGAGGCATATTCAAGGGTAGACCGAACATATAAGTTATAGAACCAAAGTTGAGCACTGTCTGAAGTCCCTACCAACTATTAAAATAATGTATTCATCAATTAATGAGACCTACCTTCTGTCATCAAATGTGTCTCGGCTGAAATCTTCATACATTCTGAAATGATACAACATAATATATTGTAACATGTAAGTACACATATAAACAACAATTATTAACATAAAACATACATATGAAAAGTATTTCAAGTTACATTCTACATCATTTTATCTAACATTGAGATTCATGTCTTTAGTGATACATTTCCATTATACATAACATATTCAAGATTGTTTCTAGATGCAAATAGAACATATTTTTTGTAATATAGATATTATACTTCTCTTAAATGTGATTTAATTTTTGTAATAAAAACCTTTAATTTCAAGAGTCGTTAAATGTAGCTTTAAGTATTGATGTATTTTAATGAGTCTTAAGATGCAAACGACTAGAAAATATTCACCAGCGACTTAAGAATTTTCATTATGAGGATTTGGCTGATATTGTTATAAGATTAAAAACATCTAAAAATATTTTTTTTTCTGTTTCTGTATATTACAACACAAGTCATAGCGACATACCCTCTAGACATCTGTGGTCCCCTGGGTGGGCTCCTGCGGCTGTACATAGCATCATACGAGGACCTCATCGACCCCATGCTGCTCCTCATGGGGGGCAGGGAGGGCATGGGCGGCATGGGCTCACGGCGCAGGGGAGGGGACACGAAGTCACCCCGCGCGCGGGACGGCGCCATGTCCAGACCCCTGGAAGCCCCCACGGGGTACCTCCGCTCGAACAGGTCCCGCGCCGAGTCAAACCGAGCTCGGTCATAGTAACCGTCGTAAGGATCCTGTTTGGAAACGAACACGTTAATGACCCCCGAAGGGATTACAAAACAATCAAATGTATAAATTTAGAGTTTGATAGCCGAAAGTGAGACTACGTAACATCACCGAGCCCGCAGCGAGTATCGGCCTAGCAACACGATGCGAACCGTTGGTCGTTACGAGGTAAGGTAAGGTAAGTGTTTATAAACGCGTTACCCCAAATCCTCCCATCATGCGATCGCGGAGGAAGGGCGGCGGCGGCGGCGGGGGGTAGGGGTCGCGGCCGAACGCTCGATCGCGGAAACCGTTGCGGTCGGGGCCCATGGCCTTGGGGCACTCCTTGGACCAGTGGCCCCCGCGGCCGCAGCGGTAGCACTGCTCGGGGTCGCCCATGCCGGGCCGCTGGCGCACGCGGCTCGTGGACAGCTGCACCTTCATGGGCTGGCCGTCCACCATCATGCCGTTCAGCTCTTTGATGGCCTCGTTCACGTCGCCCGACGCGTCCAGGTGCACGAAGCCATAGTTACGAACGATATCGCACTCCACGACCGTGCCGAACTTCTGAAACAGCTCGCGGACCTCGGGCGCGCGCGCGTCTTGTCCGTTAGGTTACCCACGAATATTTTAGTGGTCGGCGTCGACGGCGCCTTTCTACTCTTCGCCGCTTCGATTTTGATCGCCTGCCCGTGAACTACTTCGCCGTTGAGGTTCTGAATGGCTTCGCGGCCGACTTGCTCGTTTTTCCATGTGCACGAAACCGTAATTTCTGACGATATCGCATTCTACGACCGTACCGAACTTTTCGAACAGCGGTCTGAGATCGGCGTCTGTGGTTTTATCGGAAAGATTCCCGACGAAGATTTTGAAAGTACCGGCGCCCGGCATTTTAGTTTCTGAAACGCATACACAAGTTGACGAGATGAGTCAGAAGCGTGCATGGTAGTGTTTGTAAGTACCGACGACTGTTTGCCGAATTTATCTTACATGAGATGTCTTACCTTTTGGATCCGTTTTAGACACTATATATATCACTAATTATACAAAAAATACAATCTAGTATCACAGAACTTATTTTCTGCGTGCAACGCACTTTCATAAGCTACAAAATGGCGTCAACCATGAACAATTTCTTTTTTTACACGGCATTCGGCAACGAACGGAAGCAGCTGACAAAAGACAATCTCACTGCGGTATGCGGCCATTACATTTTGAATGAATGAGTGAATGACAGTCAACTATAGACAACAAACTTTAAATTTGATTTATCTGTATTAAATTGGAATGATATTTTTTTGAATCGTTATAATAACGGGTTCTGTATTTTAATTTTTTTTAAAGTAAGCAAATACTTTTTCAATTTTTTTAACACAATCAATTTTTTCAACGATTATTTTAATCAAAAATATTTCAAAACAACTATTTATTTATTTATTTCTATTATCAAGTAATAATGACTCATTTAAAAAATAATACATAGATTGTTAATAAAAAATAATAATACATAAATTCTTAAAATATTTTATCACGAAATTTCTTCAAAACTTTTCTTTTGATGTTACAAATGCACTGTAATTTATTTGATTAGAAATATTTGAAAAAGATATTTGTACAAAAGTTTTAGATCTTTTTATTACCTACAACTTTGCCATATAACTTTTTTCCGTAGGACTTTTAGTTTTGCCGGAAATCAAGAAAACCCATTTTTTACCCTTAAATACCCACCCCCATACCCTTCCCGACCTCAGATCGCCCGTAAAATTTTTTTTTCTTTAATTTTTATAATATTATCCTCCTTTTTTTAATGAGTTTCATTCTACTATAATTTAATTATATTTTAAAAGCTATTTGGTTACTCAATGGCAAGAAAAAAGAGCGCGGGAATTGAAACGTTGACGCGGGCTTTTTGAAAATTTTAATTATTTTAAATAGTTTCATACTATAATTTGCAAATTTTTGTTTAGTTTATTGTAAAGAAGTAAAACTTAGTCTGTATATAAGTATTTATGTCGAGAGATGGTGAAAAAACGTAAAAAGTAGGATTCGGGTGAGTCCTTGCCTTTCAGCACAAGCACCGATTCCGATTGCGAGGATTCGCCAGTATTTCAGGATGCAAATGCCTTCGCTCCCTTTAGATACCCTGAAGATGCGGAAGCCAAGTTTGAATTCATAGTATTTGTCGAAAGTACTAATGATGTCCCACTCGGTAATAAGGACATGATGTCGCTTAGTACTAGTTTTATACGCTCTGTGAAAGGTATACAATATTTAAAACAAAATTAATAAATATAAGGTCGGTGTTGTTTTCCAACGTGCGAATTTGGCAAATGGCTTTTTAGAAAATACTACATATCTAAAGAAACAACGACTTAAAGCTTCAATACCAGCAGGGGCCACCGAACTATCGGGAGTTATCTCTTCGGTTCCCACTCATCTATCCAATCACAAAATATATAAAGCAATATCAACAACAAAAACATTTCTGTCCGACGCATAATGCGTAAAGTAAAAAGAGAAAATAACACCTTCACACTGCAACCTACTCAGAGCGTAGTAATAACTTTTGCGTCTGCTACGTCACTGCCGGACTATGTGGCGCCTGCCTGTCTCCACATATGTCCCACCTATAAAACAGTGTTTTAAATGTTTACGCTATGATCATCTGGCTAAGTTTTGTAAAAATTCACCGCGATGCTCCATATGCACAGAGGGGCATTCTTTCGAAGAATGCAAGGTTAACATTGAAAAAGTTTAACATTAATTGTAATGGCAATCACATTGCCTTCTCTAGCCAGTGCCCTATAAGGCAAAAGAAAATCGCAAACAGTAAACCCAAGTCATATGACTGACACGTTAAAAGATTCATTAAATTTTCCCTCCCTTAATAAAAAATTAAATACCCAAGAAGTAATCCAAGCAATACTAACAAATTCTGAAGCAATGACCCTATTAACAGAATCTATAGTTAAAGTTATAACTTTAAATTAAACTCAAAATATAAGTATTAGTTCACAATTTATTAGCTCAGCTATTAAAGAAACCATCCAGGATAAAAATAGAAAATTGTCACATTCAACCACCAAATCTTAAATATTGTACAGTGGAATGCTCAAAGTCTGTTAAGTAACAGATTTGAGTTTCAAAATTTTTTATACCAAAATAATATACATGTAGCTCTCATTTCAGAAACTTTGCTCAAGCCTAGCATTCAATTTAATTCACGTGGTTATACCATTATTATGAATGACTGCGGTAATGATCATAATGGCGTAGCAATATTAATTAAAAATTGTATACATTTCTCTAAACTAGATACTTTTTATGATGATTTGTTCCAAAATGTAGTAATTGTTATTAAACTGAAACATAAATGCATTTCTTTGGTTAGTTTTTACAGTCCTGGTAATAGTTTTCCTGCTTTGAAAAGGCGAAGTTCGATCGTTTATTGTACAGTATTCCATAACCGTTGATAATTGCAGGCGATTTTAACGCCTATCATACTTTTTGGGGTTGCAGTCGCATAGATTCTTGGGGCAGAGCTATTACAGATTCCATGGATGACCATGACTTAATACTTTTAAATAATGGTCAACCAACAACTATAGGCTCTCATATTTGGGAACCAAACAGTTTAGATTTAACTATGGTGTCTTCTTCTTTACTTCTTTCTTGTGACTGGCAAGTTCATCATGAGCCCTCTATTTCCTTGAACAATTCTACAATTCTACTCAATTGAACATTCCTTTTCACAGCAATCTGAAATTAGTAAATTGGGATAGGTATGAACAAATTGTTAATAAAATGTTAATGAACTTTAAGGTTGACAATAGTGATCTCCTTGACTCATACAGGAAGTTTTGTGCAATTATTCTATTGGCAATCAAATTCTCCGGGCCCAGCTTTAAAACCATAACACAACTGATAGTAATAATAACCGTCCTAGAAAAAGGTGTCAAGTACCTTGGTGGAATGATAAATGTTCAAAAGTAGAAGAAGACCGCAAGAACGCCTACATTAATTTCAAAACTAGTCTTAATAGTAAAAATTACATTAATTTCAAACGCGCACAAGCCTTTAAAAAACTCACTTTAAAAGAAGAACGTTGTAAAAGTTGGTCTGAATTCTGCTCATCAATAAATGGTTTGACATCTATAAATCGCATTCGGACTAAAATAATAAATTTCAAAAAAAGCTTTCCGAGTTCTAACTTATTTTCTGACCTCAATTGGGTTCAAACATTTTTATATAAATACACACCGGATACTGTTTCACAACAGATAAGTATAAATAATGTTCTAGGAGTAAATAGTGATAATTCAAACATGATCGGTTGTTTTACTATGCAAGAGTTAAAATCTGCTTTAGCCTCAAGAAAAGATTCTTCATGTGGGCTGGATTAGCTTTCCTACAGAATGTTTAAACTTTTAAATGTTCAAACTCTATCTATTTTTTAAGTTTATTAAAAAGTTTATGGTCATCTTCTATTATCCCAGAGGATTGAAAAACTGACTGTTTTTACTAATATTAAAAGCAAAGACTTTAATTTGGCTGATTCTTATCGTCCTATTACACTGAGTGTTGAAACATGAAGTGCTGGAAAAATTTTTAAACAATTAATAAAACAGAGATTAAATTTTCATATAGAAAGTAATAATCTTTTACCTTACAATCAGTTTGGCTTTCGTTGTGGCCGTTCTGCTTGTGAGAGTCTACGTCATTTCTGTCTGGATATCCACGATGCTCGTTCCGAGAATAAAGTACTAGTTGGTTTTTCTTGACATTTTAGGGGCTTTCAATAATGTAGATCTGAACAAATTATCCTCAATATTATTATTACTACAGGTACCTGGAAAAGTTGTAAATTGGATTTTTAATTTTTTGAACTACAGAAAGGTGTTTGTTAAGGTTAACAATCAGTTATTTGGTCCAAGATATTCTTGTAGGTGTGTATCACAGGGTGGTGTATTGAGCCCACTGCTTTTTATCCTATTCATACATCAGCTAAATTTAACTCTGGGGTGTGAAGTTTCTAATCTGCAGTTTGCAGATGATTTAGTTGTTTATTGCTCTGATACTAATTTTTTACTTGTACAATCAGTCCTCAATGTTGCTCTCCAAAGACTGAAGAACTATTTTGATAGCCTTGGGCTGGAGGCCAGCAATGAAAAAAGTAAAGTTGTTGTCTTTTCAAAAAATGGAATTAGGAATGTAAATATTTTGTTCAATAATAATGTAATGTCTGTAGAGAGCTCTGTAAAGTTTTTAGGTGTTATTTTTACAAACAATTCTAGATAAAATAAGTATGCTGAAACTCTAGAATCTTGAGCTTTAAATGCTTGTAATGTTTTAAAATCTTTAACAAGCACATATTGGGGTGCTGATAAAAGGATTCTATTAAAATTGTATAAATCATTAGTAAGGAGTCATTTTGAGTATGCTTTTTTTTTGTTTTGCAGGGGTAAGAACTATAGTAGATAAATTAGAAAAGATACAAAATAAATGTTTGCATATTATAATAGTGTCAATGCAGGTGGAATGTAATATACCTCCATTAGCACTTAGGTTTAAATACTTACAATCAAAATTTTTTGCAAGGTTGCTCTCCATTAGTAACCATCCACTTCTTGTTAAACTGCAGGACACTATTAACAGGACTGCCAATATTTATTCATATGTGTTTCACGGTTTTTCTGAAACAGAACAAATTTTTAATAAACACAATAATTTTTCTGGCATGGTATGGCCTTGTTATTCTGGGTTATATGAATCAAAATTTATTCAGATTAAAATTGTAGTCAAAAGTCTTCTAAAGTATAAGGAAGACATTTATAGGGAACTTGATAGGTGGCAAGGATATCATCAGATATATACAGATGGGTCTAGGAACA